TTCCATTAGCAAGAAAATACCAGAGTCTGTAATCAAAATGTTTGCCATAAGCTGGGAGGCGTTTGGACCTTCTCCTGTATTCCTGCAGAGGACAGGCGTGGAAGTCAGAAGTGCAGGAGGATTTGGGGAATTTAGCAAAAAGCCAACTTCTTTTTACTTTGCTTGGCACCAAGATATTCTCTCTCCTGATAGTACAGCCAAACACCAACAATCCCTCATCACTCCTAAGGAATAGCACGCAATGAGAAAAACAATATTGCCACCCACTCTTACAGTAGTGGTGAGAAAGTCTTACGGGTTTGTTCACATTGGCCATGATAGCTCAAAGTACTAAGGAAAAGAACCCTTACCTTTTCAGTCTCTAGTGTGCAGAAGATATGTTTTCTTAAGCATACACCTTCCAAATGTGTATACTCTAGAAACTAGATTTGAAACCTTATAAAATCTCAGGTATATAAAGTATACCTTTCTTACTATTTCAAAAGCTACTTTTCAAAGTAATGTTTGAATTCAACATTCATTCAGTGTTCCCAAGTGCCTTCTCACGTGCTGAGGATACAGGGGTGAACTGGACCCACAAGGCCCCTGGGGAGTGTACCTGGTGGGAGAGGCAGACCAAAAACACCCAGAGAAGAAAGAAAGCTAGAGGATTAAGAGCTGAACCCAGGAGCCAGGCTTCAGGCATAAATACAAATTTTGTTGCCCCTGGCTGTGTGGCTTTGGGAACATTACTTGGCTCTCAGTGCCTCAGTTTCCCCATCTACAAAATAATGAGGACAATCATAACACTTATCTCATAGGGCTACAGTGAGACTGATTTCTGTCTCACAGTGATAAGAACAGCCTCATCAAAGGCTGGAAAGCTGAAATACAGATAATGTTTTAAAAGGAAAAAAATGGGGATGACAAATGAGTACCCGCCTCGTTTGGTGGCTGTACACATTACATGGCTTAATTCCCATAGAGTACTTAGAATTGGGACTGGTATGTAGTAAGTGCTCAATAAATGTTAGCTGCTATTCCATTTCAAGCACTGAGCTTTTACTTGGTGTTGCACAGTGCTTTACAACTCCCCTAAAGATACTAAGGCATCTTCAAAGCCAGTGTTGACAGGCAGTGTTGCTGTATTTTTGTGCTTACAGTTGGTGTGGTGCAGTTGTTCAAAGGAATACTTGCACAAAGATACATTTGTATGAGGTGGGGAATCTTGCCCCAGGCATGAAAGATATTGTTAAGATTTGGGAATTAAGTATAGTAAGATTGAGGTTATATGATTTCTGGTCAAGATGGTGGAGTAGGTAATTGCGGTACTCACCTCCTATCAGGACCACATTAATCACAATTAAACAACAGAACAACCATTACTGCGAATCACCTTAATTCTAGCTGAACCAAAGCCCTACAACTATGGACATACAGAAGAAGCCACCTCAAGACTGGAATGAGGGGCAGAGAGACACAGAATGGGCTGGTCCCACACCAATGTGTGACCATTAAAAATTGGGAGGGATATCTCAGCTGCACACCAGGCTCACACCTGGCTCCCCAGCCCAGGGTCCCAGTACCAAAGAGAGAAGTTCCCAGAATTTCTGGCTGTGAAAACCAGTGGACATTGGCTGTGAAAACCAGTGGACATTGTGGGCAGAGCACAGACTGTGGCTGAACTTGGCCTACACGGGTCCCCTCCAGGGGGCTTTGGGGGCTGGCAGGCCCAATGGCCAGCTTCAGACTGGGCCAGAGCATCACTTGGCTGCCTCCAAAGATGATACACCCAAAGGGCAGACTGGGCAGGCACCAGAGGCCCACTAAA